TGAGGAAGCCATGACGGCTTATCAAGAACGTTAGAAACCTCGGTTAACGAGGCAAAAATTACGGGGAGGTTGAAGGACGGTAGTTAACAGATTTCTTTAACCCTTTAAAGTGAAGCTTTCGGGAAAGACATAGCGAGATACTATTAGAAAAATTCTCTGACGACAAGCCTGATCAGATGAAGTGGCACATCGTCCGCACTGATCCTTAAAGACAACATGATAAAAGTGCCATGCCGCCTACCGTCTGCGCCTGGGACGACTTTACCGGAATCGGATTACTAATTACACACTTTATGAAACTGAGAAAGTAAGCAGATGGTTTGTTTACGGTAGTGCAATTACGCATTTTGCGTGAAATCAGAAATGATGTGTAAACGTTTGCATTACGATTATGCGCAGCTTTGCCTAAGTGGTTGACCCTTGATACCACAAGCAGAAATTTACGTAAAAGGATATCCAGCAGATGAACTGTATTTAATGACCTCCCTGTAAAGTCTGGGTAGCAAACTGGCTCAGAAGGAAGGCCCATGAGGAAAAGATCGAATAGCGGCTTTGAAAGAAAATGAGTGTCATTCACGACACATGACTTTCTAAGACACTACTGATGCATAGTCTACATCTGATGTTCATGGAGAGGCAGCATTGATTTCTTCTCAACGGTTTGGCTCTTTTTTACAAGTGTGCAATACCATTCTGACTGAAAGAGAGTACTACAGCGTCGGTATAAACCTGAAGATCCTCCGAACTTATCCACGAGGGAACAACGGTGATCTGCCTGTTTTCGACGCTTAGACCAAGAGAGCTCACTCGGTAAAACGCTCTAGTCACAGTCAAAAATTCCGACCGTTCACCGTTCATCTCTGAGGTAGATCACCGTTGTACTCCTGTGGATAAGTTCGGAGGATTTTCAGGTTTCGTACGCGCTGAGAACAATTGCCTCGACCTTCTTCGATTAAGTGATGTAGACATCGACGAGCGAATCTAATGGCAGAGATCTGGTGTTGCGGCTAGCCATGAAGATCTCGATGATACCATTTTGCCGTTTGCCAGCCACAGCCACACCCTGACCTTCGTCGGATCGTACGCAATCTCAGTTTGTGGCAAGCCGATGGGATAACGTATTCTTGGCGAGTACCGTGAGAAGTTCATTCAATGTGTCAACCTTCGTGAACTAAAGCCTTCGTCCTTCACATCCTCAGCGAGATCCGATCCAGCTGGGAGGTGCCTAGTGAACTCTTGGTCGCGACAGGGAATAACGGACATACCATGAAGGCAGGTGGCTGGCACTGTCTAGTGTCAGGTTTCACCATCTCAGCCCATCAGAGGATTATCTGTATCAGGTCCAGCCGGCTCACCGTGCAGACGGTATCCAAGGTATATAGCCTTTTTAAAAACAGTGTTGCCAGCATAGCTTGCTGATGATGACGCTCCATAAACCGAGTGAGAAAGTGTCACAACTTCGTGTGACGAAGAATAGCCTCTCGACTATTACAAGCTTTTATTTCTATTTCCTTCTTTGCTTTCGGCAGTGTAGCTGAAATTCTGAAGTTGTTCTGTGATGATGGACTTTTGTGTTCTCTAACTGAGTCCAGTCAAAGGCTGCTGCTACTGTTATTGAGATAATCATTTACCTTTCGAAATGTGATCAACTACGAATCCGTGGGTCGTCAGTAGTCCCGACGAACGAAAGCCGACAGTAAAGTCGATTTTTAGAGTGGTGTCGTTTCGTTCGCTCGTCCATTTAATTCAACAAACGGTGCACAACGTTATCCAGGAAGCCATTCTATTCCATGGTTTCATCGGCGATGACTGTGCGGATAATGTTTGCATAGGCAACACTGTGGCAGTGCAAAAGCTGCTTTTTGCCACTGCGTTTCCTGCAATCAGTAAGCAGCACCGAGCTGATATCGAAGCTTGAAAACAACTGTGAACGGAAAGCGTGGTGGAGTCATAGAGACTAACTCTCTTTTAAAAAGGTAGGGAGGATGGGGCGTAGAAGCCCGACAGCAGGGTAAGTCGGGGTGTCTCAGTGGGAAAAAAGAGCGCCAACCGCAGTGGGAAAAAAGCATAATCGAATTTGAGCGGTGTAATGCAGTGAAACGAATGGCGAAGAACTCGAAGTCACGAGTT